CCCAGGGAGGGACACCTGGCCTGAACGGGGGAATGGGACCGCGCTCTGGCGGACATCCCCAGGTGCGGGTTTTTTTCGTCCACGAGACCGCCAAAGGCCTGTGAGCATCGAGGGGCCCGCGGTCGTCCGCGTGACGTATTTTCTTATCTTACACGCATCGTGATCATCCCTCTTTTGCTCCCTTATTGCCCTTGGAAGGTCGAATTCGGCATCGGCTATGGCATGGTACAAACTTGCACCAGTCTGGTCCAAGCCGGCCCGTCCAGCTTGGGCCTGCCTGATTTGTCGTTTTAGTTTGAGCTTGCCGCAATTGCGTTCCAATCCTGGCGTAGGAGTCGTTGATCGCGCTTTCGGAGGCTTCATCCTGATCTTGTTTTCACTCTCTGACGCGGGCGCCTCGGACCAGGCCTCCCATCGCGCTCGATGGGCGCTCTTCGCACCCTCGCACCCGTCTGCGCAGGGCGGGACAGGCCTTGGGCGGATTTGAGTTGTCGTCGTCGTCCCTGGGAAACTTCGGGGTGTCCAAGTTGTGAGAAAAGCACCCCCCCCCCCCCCCCGCGTTCACGAGGAAGCGCTTTTGGGGGGGGGGAGTGGTTCAGAGGGGGAGGGGGAGGGATAATGAGATAGGAGGAAGGAGGAGGAGGAGGAGGAGGAGGATGAGGAGGAGGAGGAGGAAAAGGAGAAATGAGGAACATGAGGAAGGGGAGGGTGGAGGACGGTGCAGGGAGGAGGGAGGAGGAGGAGGAGAAGGAGGAGGAGGAGGAGGAGGAGGAGGAGGAGGGGGAGGTGGGGAGGGGAGGAGGAGGAGGAGGAGGAGGAGGAGGAGGAGGAGGAGAGGAGGAGGAGGCGAAGGGATGGGGTAGCAGGGAGGAGGAGGAGGAGGAGCAGGAGGAGGAGGAGGAGGAGAGAAGGAGGAGGAGGAGGATAATGATGAGGACGGGGATGGGAGAGGGGGGAATGACGAGGAAGAAGATGATGATTATGATGATGAGGAGGAGGAGGTGGAGGAGGACGCGGAAATGGGGAGAAAGGTGAGGAGGAGGAAGAGGATTTATGAGTGATGTGGAGGAGGCATGCGGAGAGAGAGAAAGTAGAAGGGAAGAGGATTAGCCAGGTGCATGAATTGAACACGTCGGATAGAGGGAGTGGAGGAGGAGGAGCGAGGCCGGGGCGTCCAGGTCCAAAACGCATTGGCGCCGGCCGCCTGGGCGGCCTCGTTGGCGCAGAGCCTGGCCGGAGTCCGGGTCGTGACGGGCTTGGGCGAGCTGGACGCCTTGGAGACCTCGGCCCTGCTCCCTGCGACCGCCTGCCGGGCAACGCTGGCTTAGCTGGTGCCGGACGAGAGTCCCAGGACAGGCGCTGGCGCCTGCTCCCCTGCTGCTTGCCAGCGCAGGAGCCCTGCGAAAAGCTGTAACGGGCGCTCACGCAAAGGCTTGACACAAAAAGCACCGCGCCTTTGGGAGCGCGGTCGGGATCGAGGGGAGAGCGCCACTGAGTTCCTGCGGGCTGGCAGCCGGCTCGAGGGCGGCGGCTGCTACTCCTCCGCGAGGACGCTGCTGAGCCAAGACGCGGCGCCCGCCAGCAGCCGCTGCAGCAGCCGTTTGCGGACGGGGTCGGGGGCGGGGCCAGGCGGGTCAGCCCAGGGGGCAGGCGCTCTGCTCCAAGGCGGAAGCCGACAAGCGGCGGCGCCGGTACCCCGCGCGGCGGGCGTTGTGGCCGCTCCTCCCGGTGGCGCTTGAGACAGGAGGTCGCCACGGGACGGCAGCGCTCCGACATGCGCGTTGGCTCGCAAGAAACCAGGCGCAAGGGCTCGGGGGGCGGTTCAGCCGCAGAGGCTGCAGCCAGCGTTCTGCCGCGGCGCTGGGGCGCGCAGCTTAGCATCGCGCTCATCAGAGCCTGTGCGCGGCAGCTGTTCACGGCAGTCGGCGGCGAGGCGGCCGTCGAGGCGACGGGCCAGCTGGCGGCGGAACTGGCGGGCTGCAGGCAGCCTAGGCAGGCAGCTGGGAGGGCTGGCTTCGAGGAAGGGAAGAGGGGTCGGGGCTCGTCGTGCTGCTCTACTTCATCCTCGCGGTCGTGGAGGTGATCAGATGGTGGCCTGCTGTGTGGCGCAGATTTTCCCCGTCCCAGGAGCCAGATGAACCTCGTAGAAAAGAAAAGAATGAGGGGCAACAGGAGGAGGACGACGAAGAGGTGGAGGAGGAAAAGGAGGAGGACGAGGATGAGGAGGACGAGGAGTGGGCGGAGGAGGTGGATCCCTCCGTCCTCGGCTGCCGCAGGTGTGGAGCGGCTTCAGTTTCCTCGTGGGGTTCCTCATGGTGTTCCGCACCTCCCAGGCGGCCGCCGCCGCCATCCCCGGGGGGGGGATCGGGGTTTAAAGTGTGCACTTAATGCGCTGGGATGAGCATCAGAGGCTCAGGAGGGGCCCAGATTTTCGGGCCGCTGCGTAGATGTAGGTGGGTGGACCAATCGTAGCCGAATATCGCGATGGAGAGGCCTTACTGCTTGTACCGCCGACCCTGACCGACGACAAAGATCACGACGACCACGACGACCACCACAACCACGACGATGACGACGACAACGACGACAACCACGACGACGACGACGACGACAACGCCCAGGGATCCCCCGCAATGGTGGAATTCTTGACCCTTCGCGAATCCCCGCCAGAGCTTAGCTCGGCGCGCGCGCCGGCAATTAGTATGATCGTAGCCCGAGCCAACTCTGCTTCCGCTGCCAGCGCCTTCGCCTGCAGCCGCGACGAAAAAATATCCCCACCATGTTATCCAGAAGCGATCAGCAGGGGATTTGGTGAATCAGGGATGGCTGGAAGCATGCAGTTGCGCGGCCGTCGTCAGAAACAAAACCAATGCTCACACATAGTTTACCGCATTGAAGTTTAAGATGGAACTCGGTGCAAGCTACGACGTGGTGCTCCCCCTGGTAAACGCCACTCTGGGCCATGGTAAACAATGACCACACATTTTAGGATGGAAGCAAGTGCAATATTCGCCGGGGTGTTCCCTGTGGTTTGTATATATGAAAGAGCGTGTTCTACCGCTGCTGGCGGAAAACCGGGGGGGGGTCACTACCGGTTCGAACCCCTCCCCCCCCCCCCTCCGGAAAACCGGGGGGGGTCACTACCGGTTCGAACCCCTCCCCCCCCCCCCAGCTCATCATGAAAAGGGGGGGGGTCACTACCGGTTCGAACCCCCCCCCCCCCTCGAAAACCGAGTGGGGGTGCGGACAGAGGTGGGGACGGTGTTGGTGGGACAGTGGTGAGGGGACAGCGGGACAGTGGTGGGGACAGTGGGACAGTGGGACAGTAGAGGGCCGGTAGTGGTGGGGACAGTGGTGAGGACAATGGTGGGAACAGGGGGGACAGTGGACAGTGGTGGGGACGGTGGTGGTGGGGACAGTGGTGTGGGCACAGTGGGAATGAGGTGGAAACAATGGGACAGTGGAGGGTACAATGGTGGTGGGGACAGTGGTGAAGGCGGTGGCGAGGACGGCGGTGGGACAATGGGACAGAGGTACAGTGGGGACAGTGGTGGGGACAGTGGGGACAGTGGTGGGAACAGTGGGACAGCTCAGTGGGACAGCGGCGGAGTCGGTGGGACAGTGGGGACAGTGGGGATAGTCGGGCAGTGGTTGGGGCCGTGGAGACAGTGGGGAGAGTGGAACCGTGGTGGGAACAGTGGTGGGGACAGTGGGGACAGTGCGACAGTGGTGGGGGCACTGGTGGGGACACAGTGGGGACAGTGGTGGTGAGGACAGTGGTGCTGGGAACAACAGTGGAGGATGTGATGCGGACGGTGGTAGGGACCGGGAGTCGTTTGCTGGCGGTGAGTGGGGGGGGGGGGAGGGGTTCGAACCGGTAGTGATCCCCCTCCGGTTTTCGAGGGGGGGGGGGTTCGAACCGGTAGTGACCCCCCCGGTTTTCCGGATCCGGAGGGGGGGCGGGGGGGGGGGGGAGGGGTTCGAACCGGTATTGACCCCCCCCGGTTTTCGAGTGGGACGGGGGGGGGGGGGAGGGGTTAGGGGAGGGGGGGGGGGGTTTGCCGGGGGAGGGGGGGGGGGAGGGGTTCCAGCAGGGGGTGGGATTTTCGGAGGGGGAGGGGGGCGACCCCCGGGCTCTGGAGGAAAAGGTTGGCAATTTTCCACACTAAAACGGCGGTGGATCACGCTCTCTCGTATACATGATTCGTCACCCTTGTCGCACAGTTGAGAGTCGCATCCCCATATGCATCCTTGATCTCTGCCTCCGCACCGAAGTTTATCTTAAACTCGCGTGCGGTTGCTGGCGTTGGTGGTGGCGGTGGCGGCGGTAGTGGTGCTGCTGGTGTTGCTGCTCGTGGTGCTCTGTTGCCCTCTTGGAACCATCTTGGAGCGAGTGGTGCTGCTGGTGCTGGTGATGCCTGGGTCCATATTGGGGGTAGTAGTAGTAGTAGTAGTAGTAGTAGTAGTAGTAGTAGTAGTAGTAGTAGTAGTAGTAGTAGTAGTAGTAGTAGTAGTAGTAGTAGTAGTAGTAGTAGTAGTAGTAGTAGTAGTAGTAGTAGTAGTAGTAGTAGTAGTAGTAGTAGTAGTAGTAGTAGTAGTAGTAGTAGTAGTAGTAGTAGTAGTAGTAGTAGGAGGAGGAGGAGGAGGAGGAGGAGGAGGAGGAGGAGGAGGAGGAAGACGAGGAGGAGCAGGAGCAGGAGCAGAAGGAGGAGGAGGAGGAGGATGAGGAGGAGGAGGAAAAACAACAGAAAAGGAGGAGGGGAAGGAGGAGGAGGAGCAGGAGCAGGAGGAGGAGGGAGGAGGAGGAGGAGGAGGAGGAGGAGGAGGAGGAGCAGGAGGAACGCGGCGCGAGGAGGATGACGAGGAGCAGGGAGGCGGCAGGAAAGAAGCAAGGACGGAACGGACGATGACAAGGAGGACGAGAAGCCGGACTTTGGGCATATGTCGTGGTGAGGGGTTCTTCGAAGACTCGTAATGCCATTTGGGCGCCATCTTGGGGTCCTCTTGGCTTCTTGGGACCTTCTTGAGGGTTTTTTCACAGGTCTTGGAGCCCTCTTATGACTCTTCTGGGGAGTGTGGAAGGCCTCTCGGGGCCGTCCAGCGCTCCAGTCGACACGACAATGACCGAAGTTGAAATCAAATCGAAGGAAAGCCTCTTCCGTGTGATTCCTGCCACAGGGGGGGTCCCAAGGGGGTCCCCGGGGGGGTCCGGGGAGGGTCCCCGAGGGGTGGTTCTGGGGGGGGTGGTCCCTGGGAGGAGTCCTGTCGGAATGCCACCCCTCTGGGGGGATCCAGAGGGGTTCCGGGGGGTGGGTCCCGGGTCAGTTTCTCACCAGCCCTCTGGGCGCAGGTGGTCTGGAGCGTTTCCATTTCCAACCTCCTTCCTTTCCCTGCTCGGGAGCTTTGCCTCCCCCCCCCCCTCCCTGGGTCTGGAAGGGGGGGGCCCGAGGGGTTAGAGCGTCCAAGATGGCCCAAGATAGCTCCAAGAGGGTTTTGGATAGCCCAAGATGGCCCAAGATACTTCGAGATGGCTCGAGACAGCCTCCGACACGCATCCAAGAGGCCCCAAGACGGTTTCAAGTGCCCTCCGAGCCTTCCAAAGACCCCCCCACGAGGCCAAAATGGGTTCAAAACCTACGGAACCTACGGAAAATCACTGTCGTTGTTGCCTCTTCGCCACCGCGCAAGCTCGCTACGTCATCTCGCGTAAGAAACTTTTTTGGGTCGTCGCTCATGTGGACGCACAAGGTTTCCCCACTCAGGCGTTGCCTGAGGGGCTCGCAGGTGTTGGCGAAGGAACCGGTGGGTGCGACGCACCATTCCAGCGTTCTTCGGGTTTCCCGTTGTCGGGATGCCCTGCGTCCTTCGGAGATGCTTAGGGTTACCCAGTTTCTCGGGATGCCCCGTTCTGTTGCCCGGCAATGTTTCGTGGTTGCCCAGGGATGCCCGGTTGTTTGGGTTTCTCCGCTCGTGCCAAGCAGTGCTAAGCAACGCCGAACAATGCAAAGTCATGTGAAGGGATACCAAGCAATACCAAGCAACGTTTTCAAGCAACGCCAAGCAACGCACAGACTATGCCAAGCAACGCCAAGCAGCGATTCAAAGCGACGCCGAACAATGCAAAGCAGTGCCAAGCAATCGTTTGCATTACATTGTTTTGTACCGCTTTGAACTGGTGTGGTCTGACTTGATTTGAGAAAAAGCAGTTCGCACCTGGGATCGCGCCGGGCTCATATTCCTCCACCCCGACTTGGCCCCGAGGCCTACCAGCGCTTCTGGGACGGCGCCACCGCCATCCACAAAATGCGGGCCGAGTGGTTCGATGCCGCATCCGCCATGGTCGCGTTCACGCGGATGAGCAAGGGCACCGAGGACGAGGCCAGGCGGGGAGGGAGAGTCCCATTCCAAGTTGGCCCGTTTTGACTATTTTCCCGCGTAAACTCCAGAAGCGAGGGCCGCCAGATGCATTGGAACTCGTGAAGCGTAAACCCAAGCTGATCGCATCATAATATTGGAGTCCCGGTAATGGGCCCAACACCAACACAAGTGGTTGCCTCCACCTGGGGAAGATGACCCTAGATTTGGATGTTGGTGGTAATCGTTCGACCATCCAGGAAACCCAAACATTACCACCATCACCAAGAACGTGACCACCTTGCCTCGATGGAGGCAAGCCGCCGACACTGGTGCTGGTGCTGGTGTTCTCGACTTACAGTCAAGACGCTGAACCGAGGACCTTCTGTGCCTCGGGCGGGGCTCCGGTTTCCGGACCTCTCCGTAGGTCTGGGTCGGGGCAGCACTCCGTGGCCGACGCTCACCGTGGCCAGAAGAGTCCTTACCGCTCTCCATGCAGCGTCCTTCCGGGTAGCACGACGACTGCAGGCACAGCAGGGCTCGTTTCGATGCCTTCGATTCGATGTGCTTCGATGTCGACGGCCTCCGACTCCGATTCGCTTCGACTTGGGTTTCCGATTCGGGCTTCCGATTTCTCCATGGAGGCCTACTAGCCTGCCGATGTCCGCCGATTGGACTTCTTCCGACTCGGCTGCCGATTTCCGCCGATCCGATTCGTTTCGACCGCCGATGCGATTTAATCGATTCTATTCTGGGCCCTCCTGCTCTGGGGGGTGCCCCGAGCTGCAAGCGGGTGTGCCGGCTCGGCATGCACAAAACAATATGCAACAAGAGCTCGGACGCTGGGGGGTGAGATCGAGGTGGCACGGAGAGCCCCCCCACCAGGAAGTCGATTTCGGTTTCCTGTTCGTGTCGCGCGTGAGGGAGAAGCGAAGCTACGTGGGCGGGCGAGGATAATGACTTCGCTGTGGCAAGGGCGGGTCAAGACAAAAGACCGCCCCTCGGGTTGGCCAGCGTGGCCAGGGGTATGCCGCCGTGGTGTCCCGCCGTGGTGTCCCGCCGTGATGCCCGCGGGAGGTGGCCACCATCACAATCACCGCAGTTGTCCTCAGTTGGTTCTTTCCCTTCCAACCTGCTTATGATCCGAAGGGTGGTCGTACAGGTCGAGGATGTAGACGCTGTCTGTGGGTCCCGGGTTTTGTTCAACCTCAGATGGTGGGCGCGAGGATCAAGAATGTGGAATACCAGTCGTTGTACGATTAGACCGTTCGCACATTTATGTGTTCATTTGTCTTGCGAAGGCCTTACGGCCCGTGCCGCCGACCCTGACGGCGGGACCTTCCCTGGGATGGAGAGGGGTATAGAGTTCTCCCTGCTCACAGGGGGCCACCCTCTTGTCCCCCGTGTGCGCAGGGGAGACTGGAGGGAGAGGGGGGGGAGGGGGAGGCACCTGGAGTTCCCCCTGTCCACAAGGGGGGCCAAGGAGGGTAAGGGGGAGCATTGAATTCCCCCTGTTTGCAGGGGGGGCCATCCCTTGTCCCCCCTGTCCACAGGGGGGACCCAGGGGCTGGAAGGGCGATAATCTGATCTGGGGACCCCCCGCCCCGTGGGGGGGACTCAGCTCCTGTGCCCCCGACCCACAGGGGTGATTGACTCGGGAGGGGACGGAGGGGGAGGCATGGAGTTCCCCTGTCCACGGGGGGGGCCACTCCTTGCCCCCCCTTGTTCACAAGGTGGACCGCAGGGGCGGCAATCCGAGCGCGGACCCCCTTTGTCGCCCCCATCCGCGGAGGACTGGAGGGGCGAGAGGGGGGGAGTGCGTTCCCCCGGTCCACGGGCGGGACCACCCCGTGTCCACAGGTGGGACATGGGGTGGGGGGGCAATCTGGCCCAGGACCACCCCATATGACCCTCCCCCCACAGGGTGCACCCCCTCCCCTGTCCCAACCATCCACGGAGGACCGGGGAGGGGGAGGGAGATGGGAATTCTTGACGCTTCGCGTTCTTGGTGCCGCTCCGCCACTTCGCGCCGTTTTGGCCTCGCTGAGTCTCGCTCCGCACCGGGCGTCGTTCGTTGCTCCGTTTTTCCCTTCGCGCGTGGCACAGCCTGCCCCTGCCTGCCCGGCGTCCGACCCGCGTCGCGCGCCTGCGAACCAAAAATATCCCCACCAGCCCATGCACAGACGATGCCCAGGCGAGTTGCCTTGATCAGGGAAGCGGAAGGGCATGCCGTGAATCAAAAGCTGGGGAAGTTGTCCAAGCCAAGTCTTGGATCAGCTTGCGCAGACCCAGGTTCGAAGCGCATGTGTCTTCGCGGACCTGCCGAATGAGGAAAGGCGGGGAAGAAGGACGAGGGGGATGAGGGCGGGGAGGGGGAGTATGAGGAGGCGGAGGAGGAGGTGGAGGCGGAGGCGAAGGCGGAGGCGAAAGCGGAGGCGGAGGCGGAAGCGGATAAGGAGGAGGTGGAAGAGGAAGCCAGGTTGGAGGCGGAGGCGGAGGCGGATGAGTAGGAAAAGGAGGAGGAGGAAGGAGGAGGAGGAGAAGAAGGAGGAGGAGGAGGAGGAGGAGGAGGAGGGAGAGGGGGAGGGGGAGGAGGAGGAGGAGGAGGAGGAGGAGGAGGAGGAGGAGGGAGGAGGAGGGGGGGAGCAGGGGCAGAAGGGGGAGGGGGGGGGGAAGATGAGGAGGGGGAGGGGTGGGGGGAGGCGGCGGAGGACAAACTAGGTGCGCTCGCGTCAGATCTGACGTCTTGACCCTCCCTCCCATCCCTTGCCATGGCGTAGATGTCCTCTCTATCCGCACAGCTGGCTGTCGTAGCAAAGCATCGAATTTCATGTCATTGCATGGTGTTGAAAACCAACGGGTATCCTGACATAGCATGGCGTGGCGGCGCCCCAAGGGAGGGGGGGGGCTTTTGCGACCCTAGAATCAACGAACCGGCACCGAATGTGCAAGCACTTCCGATGGTTGTTTCGGGAGGGGGGCTTTTTTCTACATTTTGGGGCCGATTTGCAAGGACCGAAAGCCATGCCGTGGCATGGCGCTGGAAATAATGACGCCAGCGCTGCAGCGGGAGCACGATTCGGAACGAGCGGAAGCGCGGAAATGAGGCCAGGCTTGCAGCGGGAGAGCGATTCGGAACTAACGGTAAACCGAAAATGAGGTTAACGTTGCAGCGAGAGCAGCATTTTGAAAAACAGCCCAAGCGAAATCCCAACTGCTGGGCATCCTGTGCGAAAGAACAGTACGCGGAGGGTGGCCAGACATCTCCTGGACGCCACCAGGGGAGAGTATTCATATTGTTTAATTGCGGAGGAGGGAGGGGCGAGATAGGCGGATGCAAAGGAGGCGGAGGAGGAGGAGGAGGAGGAGGAAAAGGAAGAGGAGGAGGAGGAGGAGGAGGAGGAAGAACAGGAGGAGGAGGAGGAGGACAATGGCGAGTTTGGGGGTTTCTTGGGGCGTCTTGGGGGCCTCTTGGCGGTCCCGGGGACCTTTTGCGTACCTGGTGGGGACTTTTAGGGCCCCTTGGGGTTCTTGGAGCCCTCTTGGGAGCCTCTTGAAGGCCTCTTTGGAGCCTCTTGGGGCCTCTTTGGCGCCTCTCTGGAGGGTGCTCTTGGGAAACTTGGGGACGCTCGTACAGCCATCTGGGAGGACATCGATTAAAGGAGGGAGGAGATTGGAGGAGATTCAAATCGTCTTGCCCCTCTGAAGTGCCTAGAATCGTCTCTTGGACCTCTCTGTGAGCGCTCTTGGGGCCGTCTTGGGGCTCTCTCTCAGGCCTCTCTTGGGGCTCTCTGGAGCTGCTGTATTATGGCCTCGGAGGGCCATCGAAAGCAAAAAGGCGAGAAGACACAATTGATTAATTCTCCTTCGGTTTTTGAAGGGTGTTGGCCTCTTGGCGGCCTCCGTGAGACGCGTCTTGGAACGGTTTTGAGGCCTCTTGGAGCATATGAGGAGCCATCTTGAGGCATTTTGGGCTATGTTGTGCCATCTTGGAGGTTATCTTTGGCTCTCAGTGGCCTCTTGGAGCGGTCTTGGGCCATCTTAGATGCTCTGACCGCTCGCGAACCCCCCTCCAGGTCCAGGGGAGGGGGTAGGGGGAGGGGTCAAGCTACCCACTTGCCCGCAAGCCGACAAGCTCACTCCCACCCGACCTCCAAACACATAAGTAACCCCCGAGCCTGAGCATGTGCAGAGGTCGTCTTTGAATGGGCAGCTATTGGGAACCCAACGCCGACCCCAGGTGTGCGACGCTTGGGCGAGGTGCTCCACGCGTGCCATGCGCGCCACGTGCGCCAGGCACCCCTGGGACCCGAGCGTGCCAGGCACGCCTGGTGCGCCAGGTGCGCCACGTGCTCCGAGTGCGCCAGGCGTGCCGCACACTGCAGCCGCGCCAGGTACGCCACGTTCGGGGCACGTGCAGAGTGCGTCGGGTGCGCCTGCGCACGTGACAGCACACATCGGGAAACATGTCGCCCCCCGCCATCCTTGTCGAAAACCAATGCCCATCACTGTGTCTGGTGGGCCTGCGCACAGCAGGCCACGCGACACCACCCCCGCCGCCCCTGTCGAAAACCGCTTGACAGTGATCGCGGGGTGGCCGCGCATGATCCAGATTCAGCCGCGAGTTGCATGGTTTTTTTGTGTCAGGGATGGTAACCCTGCGCGCAGCAGGGAATATGCTGACACACCCGCCGTCCTTGTCAAACACAGTACAACGTGCTCGCGGGCCTCACGAACATGACTCCAGACTTTGCCCCGAAGTGTACTTTGTGTCTTTTGGCAAGGACGGTGTGGGGCGTTCCGCATCGGGTTGGCCCGACAAGCTCTACATGTGGAGGCAACGTGCGATTTGTATGTTGTTGGACAGGGATGGCGGGGGCGGACCAACATGTAGTCTGCATGGTTCTGGGTTGGCCGCAGGCTGAGTGGGGTGGGGGGTGTAATAATAAGGAACAGTGAACAAGCCCTCCCAGATAGCAAGCCGTCTAGCTCAATCCCACCCGCCCTCCCAACACATAAGTCTCTCACACCCGAGCCTCATCATGTGCAGCGGGCACCTGTGCCGCTGGGTGCCTTTGTGGCGTCCCAGGAAAACAGGCGGGTTGGCAGCCCGATCGTCTCCACAGCTCGACGGGGCTGTGGGAGAGACTCTTGCCCTGTGGTTGGCCAGCCACAGTAGGTGCGGGCCCGCCGTACCACCCCTGAGAGGCCCGATGGGGTTACTCGAAGGGGTCCCCCGACGTGGGGGGCGCGGGAACTTAAGTCCTTGGGCAGCGGGGCCTCCGCTGCTTGAGGCCGGCGGCCAAGTGGGGGTGGTGCCGGTGGCCGTGTCTCGGGGTGGCATCTCGAGGCACCTCGCAACGGCGGCGCGGATAACGCCGGGGGCGGTCCGTGCCGCCGTTCGTGTTGCGAGGTCCGACTGCATGTGAATTCATGCAGGCACCTTGGGCACCTCCCTTCGGGTTGCGTCGCCCAGGTGTTCTGTCCGGGCGAAAAAAAAACATCATGTGCAGCGGTCGTCTTTGGATGGGCAGCTACTGGGAGCCAAAACCGAGCTCTTGTGCGCGACGCTGGGGCGAGGTACGCCACGCGTGCCAGGCGCGCCACGCGCGCCAGGCGCCCTTGGGGCCCGAGCGTGCCAGGCACGCCTGGTGCGCCAGGTGCGCCACGTGCATCCGCGTGCGCCAGGTGTGCCGCACACTGCAGCCGCGCCAGGCGCGCCACGTTCGGGGCACGTGCAGAGTGTGTCAGGCGCGCCTGCGCACGTGACAGCACACATCTGGAAATATGGCGGCCCCCACCATCAATTTCGAAAACCAATGCCCATCATGGTGGTTGGTGGGCCTGCGCGCAGCAGGCCATACGCCACCACTTGACAGTGATCGCGGGGTGGCCGCGCATGATCCAGATTCAGCCGCGAGATGCATATGTTTTTTTGCTGATGCCCCCGCCGTCCCTGTCACCAAAAACAATACAAAGTGCTCGCGGGCCTCACGAACATGACTCAAGACTTTGCCCCATAGTGTACGGAATATTGTTTTTTGACAGGGATGGTGGGGGGGGGCCTCATGGGTCCTCAGTGCTTCTGGTTGGCTGCCCGTCGCCTGGGGGAGGTGGCCTATATTAATAAGGGGGCAGTGACAGACCCCTCCCCGAAGGGGAAGAGGGGGGTCGGAAGAGGAGCCCTCGACCACCTACGCCCCGAGGGCGTATGTGGGATGGAGTTCCTTCCGTTCACAGAGGGCACCACCCTTTGTCCCACCTGTGGACCGTGAGGGGGGGGGGGCCCGGCAATCTGGCCAGGGGCCCTCCCAGGACCCCCCCACAGGGAGTAACCTCCCCTGTCCCCTGTCCCCCCTGTCCACAGGGGGTGTCCGCGGAGGTGAAGGGGCGGGGGGGGCGCATTGAGTTCCCCATGTCCGCAGGAGGGACCCACTCCTTGCCCCCCCCCCTGTCCACAACGGTACTCGGGGGCGAGGGGGCGGTAGTCTGACCCGGGACCCCACCCAGGCAGGACCCCCCCCCACCCGCCACCCCCTTTTCCCCTCTGCCAGGGAGGGGAGGGAAAAAGTGAACGGGGATCGACTTAATTACGACCTTCCTTTTCCTTGTTCGTTCCTCAGTTTCTTTGGACCTGACGATTGCGAAGACGACGACATTCGTCTCACACACGCCTAAGGGTTGGCGGATTCTTATCTTTCGTTATCTACTTGTCGTTGATGTCAATAGGCGTTGCATCGCCCTCCATTTGTTTCCATACGGCTCCCCATTTTCTGCCACTTCAACGCATAGTTTGGCCTATGACGTGCCCTAGGCCTCACCGCACATAATGGTCTGGCCAACACCCTCTTGCCTGAGGCTCTGAAGGCAGGCTGGCGGTAGGGTTTCGGGCCATGATACCGAGCTTGAGCAGCAAGGGTGTTCGCGTTGCGGTCGGTTCGACTGAGTCGGTTCGCTCGTTACCTTCGATTCAACATGGCTGCTGTGTGGATGCCATTTCGACGTGCCCTTCTCGGCCGCGTGCGGCCTGTCGGTCCTGGTTTCGTCATCGGTTCGGCATGGACGGCTCTGAGTAAGGAAGTGAGATATTCGCCTTCTTCGTCGTGATCCTGAAGGTCCCCATGATGCAGGACCCATTTCGACTCGATCCACCCGATGTGGTATCGGCACCGCCCGGCGCAATTCGAGTCGATTCCGATATTCTGGACGCTTCGTGTAACCCCACCAGCCCATCCAGAAACAATGCCCACACGAGTTGCCCTGATCCCGCATGTGGAGGAGCATGCAGTGGAATGAAGGGCTGTGGTGTGTAAGACGTCATACCCCAAGAGAGGAGGATGGAGAAGGAGCCGGAGTTGCAGGAGGAGGAGGAGGAGGAGGAGGAGGGAGAGAGGGAGGGGGAGGAGGCAGGAAGAAGGAGGCAGAATGGGGAATGGGCGGACGAGGAAGAAGAGGAGGAGGACGAGGGGGAGGGGGGGACCGGGAGGAGGAGGAGGAGGAGGAGGAGGAGGAGGAGGAGGAAGAGGCGAGCAGAAAGGCCAGACGCAACTTGGATGCCTTTCGGAGTCTCTTCGGTTTTCTTCCGAGAGCTTCTTAGAGTCCTTGGGGATTTTTTGGGATGACTTAGGGATTTTTTGGTAGTCCTCGGGGCTTCTTGGAACGTCTTCGGTGCATCTGGGGGGCCTCTTGGGGGCGTCTTGGGGTCCCCATTGGGAGCCTCAGGGGCCATCTTGGGGCCATCTTCGAGGAGATTGACCAAAGGAGGGGAGCTCCGTAGTTCGGGTCCTCCCCCCAGAAGGCAAACATGTGGCCAAAACCTTAGTAACAGCAGTTTTGTTTGGCATTCTCGCCGGGGCCTCCTGGGAGTCTCTTGGGGGTCTATTGGGAGCCTCTTGGGGGCATCTTGAGGTCCTCTTGTGGACCTCTTGGGGCCTCGTGGCACCTCTTGGGGCCGTCTTGGGGCACCATTGGGAGTCTCGGGGGCCATCTTGAGGCCATCTTGGAGGATGTCGATCAAAGGAGGGGGGCTCCTTCGTTAGCACCCCCCCCTGGAGGTCACAGTCTGGCCAAAACCTTGTGTGAATTCAATGAATGATTTTGGCCTACTCGCCGAGGCTATCTTTGACGCTCCAACTGCCCGCGACACGTCCTGTGCAGTTCCAGTGGGAGGGGGTAGCGGGCGGGGTATACTCCTCCCCGAAGGAGAAGAATGAGGTTAGAGGATGAAGCTCCCTAAACCACTCACGCCCGAAAGGGCTGGTGGAATTCCTGCGGTCTGGTGTGGCCCGATGTCCACATGGCATTGCTGTGCATCCTGGCGCGGCACCGCAGGCCTACCTGACGTTTGTCACGGTCAGAGCCAACCTTCTGAGCAGGTATGGCGGACCAAGCGCTGTCGCACTGGACGGCCCTGAGTAGTTAAGGACGTGCCGCCGCGAACGGCCTCTCGAGCAGGTAAGGAAGTGAGTTCTCTATTAGCCGTTGTCGTCATCCCCACGCTGCCCATGCCCCTCCCCCCTTTTTTTTGGGAAGGGGGGGGGCGGGCAGGTGTGGCGGTTCAAGGACCGCATGGTGCGCCTGTTCTCCCTGCTGCACGCCTGCGCCATCCTGGAGATTGAAGACGACTGCCTGCACGGGGAGTGCCAGGACCCCGGGGCGTCCAGACGCCTGTTGCCGCCTGAGCCCGCCTCCTCTCCCTGCTTTCTGCGCCTCTTGCCTCCCTCCCTCCCTCCCATTGCTCCTCCCTCCTCCCCGTCGTCCCTCGTCCTCGCCCCCCCGTCCGCCTCTCTTCCTCCTCCCGCCTCCGCTCCTCCCTCCTCGTCTCCCTCCTGCCTCCCTGCCTCCCTCCTCCTTGCTCCCCTCCTCGGCCTTCTCTCCTCTTCCTCCTGCTCCTCCTCCTCCTCCTCCTTGCTCCCCTCTTCGGCACTCACTTATTATCCCCCCCTCCTCCTCCTCCTCCTTGCTCCCCTCCTCCTCCTCCTCCTCCTCCTCCTTCTTCTCCTTCTCATCATCATCATCCTTCAGCCGCCGTTTCCTGTTCCAACTCCATCTTTCGCGGTCTTGCAGGCACTCCACGCAGAGCAGTTTCCGCCCTCAGGGCACCTTCATGTCATGCCAGCGCGGCTGGCCATCCATATCTTTCTCACGTGATTTTCTGGGTGATATTCATGCGATGGGCCGTCTACAATCCGCTCAGCATGGTGGCGCCATTAAGAAGCATTGAGATTTCGCGACAATTCAGTGCAGTGGACGGTGTCATGTTGCCAGCGACGAGATGGAGACAGCACGACACCTCCAGTGCCGTCGACCAGCTGCATACGTACAAGCACCGCATCTTCACCTGGGGGTGCGGCCGCGGCCCGCTCACCAACAGCCACGCGGGGGTCGCCATCATGGTCAGCAACAGGTTCCGCATCAAGTGCATCACAGAGCTGCCTAGCCCACCAGCGAGTATACAAGGCCGTGCAGGAGCAGTGCGCGTTCGGCGAGGAGCGCTTGACATGACCTACATCGTCGCGTACCTGCCGCCGCGTTCGGGCCTCGCTAAGCAGCACAACGCGTGGGTCAATACAGTCAACGTAACGCTAAAGTGGATCAACAAGGCGCTCAACGCGACTCCCACGAGAAGCACGCCCATCAATGGCCTGTATCTGAACGACCACTACGGCCAAGGCGGACTGATCCCCGCCACGCCCAGCAACGTGATCGGCGACGCGGGCTCCACCGGCATCCCGGGAGAAGCTGCAGCAACATTCCACAACATGCTCGACGTCCACGGCATGTGCATCCCGAACACATTCTGGAACGCAGGCCCCACGTACTTTGGAGCTCAAGGACAAGCCACACCCCCAGACTCACATCGCAGTACCACAAGGACTACGGGCCCACATCATCTCTTGACGAGTCTGGTGGCGAGCAGCCAAAACACTCCAGCTCATCAACGACCACTTCCCGCGCGATCACGCCCCGCTCATCGCAGCCGCCAACATCACCATCCCGAGCGCGTTCACCGAGCCGAAGCGGACCTCCTGGGACTACGACAAGATGGGTCAGGCATTGCAGACGGGCAAGCACCTCAAGGACTTCATCACCGCGCCGGAGACGCATTTCGGCCAGTACCAGGAGCAGCTGCATTGCCTCGCCAGCGACAACACTGCGGACGAGCACTGGGAGCTCATTATTCCCATCCTGCAGGAGACAGCCAAGCCCTTCTTCGAACGCCAGCAGCGCAAGCCCGACAGCTACCAATAGCTCATGGAGGAGAGGCCACGACCCCTACATGAACGTGCCGAACTCAGGGAGGACTACATCGGCTCCGCCCCCGACTGCGACACAGAGTTCCAGATCGAAGCTCTCGCGCACGCCCTCAAGAAGCAGAAGCGACTCCATGAGGCCGAACGGCGCCGCCAGCTTGAGGAGCGCATCTACGAGGCCTGGCAACGACGCGAACAAGCAGAAGTGCATCGACTGTCACGACTTCTCGCAGGCACCAACGTTGGCAAGCGCAACCGCACGTACAGCCGCTCCGCCAGAGCACGACCAAGCCTGCAAGAATGGGCAGACCACATCGCACAAGACGGGCAGCATGGAGGGTTTCAAGCACAGCCCATCAACTTCAGCGAGGAGAACCGCACCCTGAAGGAGAGCACCTACGACTTCACCGCCTAGCACAACCAGCAGATCCGACAGGAGTGCGAGGGCGCCAGGGGCAATGTCAAGCGCACCCTCTACGGCGTAACCAAGCGGCTCAAGTGCTTCAAGAAACGCGCCTCCGTGCCCGAGTGGTCGCTGCCCGCAGAGATCCCCCAGATGATCCCAGCGCCCACCAACGTCACCAAGCAGAAGTCAAAAACGACAGGCGTGGGCTACGACGACGAGCTCGCCGAGGCACCCCTCACGCAGGAATGCTTCGAGTCAGTCCTCAAGCACGCGTACCGAGTCGGCTTTGCACTCTCGACGCCCACCACAGCCAGAACTTCTCCCTGGACAAGCAGAACGGCAAGCCCAAGGCGCTCGGCTTGCGCATCCTTCACGTGCTCTGCCCCTTCTGGCGCTGCTTCTACCGCCACCTCCAGCGCAAGTCGAAGCCATGGTCACCACCACCACATGCACACGGATGCTGGTCACATCGACGTCGCGAAGTACGTATGGCGGCCACGCGCGTCGTTGCCCACCGACTCCAGCGGGCCAAAACCGACTTCATCGCGGGCAGCAAGGACGCCTCCAACGCGACATCGACAAGGCCGCAAGGTTTATCCCGACCAACCTCAGCGTGACCGAGCATCGCCTCTTCCACCAGAGGTTCCAATGCGCCAGCGTCCAGATCGACGGTTTCGGTTCCACAGGTGACTATAGCATCTGCTCTGGGGTAATGCCAGGTTGCAGTACGGGCCCCACCTCATTCAACTTCGTCTACGAACAACCCGTGGGGCAGTGGCTCGAGACTTTAAGGGTAGCTCTTTGGGAGATGTTACAGTATCGGGAGCATAGCTCGCGCGCCGCTGCCTTGGGCTCAAGGCACGCGCGCCCTATTTGCCCGGACACCGCGAGTGTTCGCTATGTGCTGGAAAGATCATTACATCGATCTTATCCTATCTTACCCATCCACCCCTCATACTGTACCTTCACAGCAGAGCGATGGATGCAATTTGCCAGGCTATATGCCCTATTTGAGTTACCAGGCTCACTTTCGACTTGGTAGCGGAGCTGGCCGCACTCTCGTGTGGTCAGCTCTTGCTCTTCTCAGCCTCGCATTCTTCGGCGCGATCTTCGTGGCCACCTACTACCCTGCGCCACCACTCCCAGTACATTTACGAGGATCTATTCAAGAGCAAGAAGCTACACGAGAGGTACGACGTCTAGACGACCAGATTGGTACCATATACGCTTCATCATTGCGTTACTATCAACCGCTCGGCAACGAGCCAATAACGCAATACCTGAAGCAAGGGCGGGGAAACCCGCCAGACAGAGCGCCTCGAAGACTCGACAAGGCGCTACCCCAGCGCGACACCGCTCATCATAACCGTCCTTCGTTACACATTATCGGGCTAATCGTTTTCGCTATCATATGGTTCGCGCTGGGGGCAGCAATCGCACACATGCGTCGGGGAGATAACAGCACCGATGGGCAAACACATGGCCCATATTGGGACCCTCAGGGTAGTGTACCTTTTCGTGAGTACATTTACGAGGTCAACGCGTGGCTCAACGTCACAAGCGGACGCATGACGCCACAGGCCCAAGCGGCCGCAATACAACGCGGCCTGGGAGGCCTAGCGAGGACACTCGCCATGAGGGTACCGCCTGACATTATAAACTATGGTGCTGACATTGATGGGGTCCACACAGACCCAGTAACTTACATCATGTTCCTCCTCAGCATGAAGTTCGAACGCCTGGAAGATGAGCGACAGCTCACTTCCGGCACACAACTCATCGACTTCCATGTGCCTCACGGGGAACGAATCGATGTCACTCTTACCCGATTCGAAATGGCCCGACTTGAGGCACAGTCGGTGGGATTCGACCTTCCTAACTTCCAACTGCTAACCACTATCCTATTCCGCGCCTTAGGCGTCGGCAACCAGAAAGCCATGCAACTCTTACAGCCACTCAACCACCAAATGCCTCGAACACAACAACAATATGATGAGTTGCTGGAAAGGATGCGTTCGGTAGGTCACCTATCCGAACGATCCCCTGGCAACATAGGATCCGTGTTTGGAAGAGGAAGGGGATCTGGTAGTGGAAATTTCTACACTACCTTGACTACTGAAGCCCAGCCTGGAAACGGGCCCTCAAACATATGGGCCGATGACCCAGGAGAATCCACTGCTTTATTAGCAGGGGATCGATCACAACCAAGCTGGGCAACCAGCCCTCCTTCTAGAGAACCACAACCACACCGCTCGTTATGGGGGGAATCAAATCCCCTAACCGACGGTGTATCCACCTATTTAGGAGACGAAGATTTCGACTCCGGCACCGATACAGACACTATATCATCAGATGGTGTTGAAGCTCTAGATTGGTCAGATATCATGAATATGGATAACGACAATCAGCGTGCTGAGCATTTATTCTGGCTGTTACAACAGGCTAAACGAAGGTGGAGGAGGTTCACACGAAAACCAGTGCGTCGTGTTAGAAGGAGGATACGCAGAAGTTTTAAAGGAAAGGGTAAAGGCAAGCGTGGTCGTCGGAGGTTGAACGGGCGAGGTATCGCGGCATTTCTCCAGAGGCTCTCAGATGAACAACATGATGAGATATTCTTTGGGGGAAAAGGCCGCGGTAAAGGCCGTAGAGAGACCTCAGGTAAAGGTAAAGGTAGGCGGGGAAACCCGCGAGGTAGAGACGGCCAGGTTCTCAAATGTCATGAGTGTGGTAGTACCGATCATCTTGTGCGAGATTGTCCAGCGAAGGGAAATGGAAAGGGCATGTCGTCCGAAGTCCATTTCGGCTCAAGCACACCATCCATTGAGTATCTGAGCCTCCAGGACTTTGAGGCTATGGAACAGATATTTTTCACATGGGTCGTTGGCATGGACAACATTGACGAGCTCGAGGGGTATGGACATGGATTATACGCGTATTACCTCGAGTACGTCCGCCGGTTCGTCACGGGCAGTAATGAACTCACTCCC